TGAGGCTCCAAGTAAAGAGTGAGGTGTAAATCTAATCTAATCTCCTCCTCTTCTTCCTCTTCCTCCTCCTCCTCCTCTTCTTCTTCTTCACTGGGAGCAGTGTGGGAGGAGCCAGTTGATGAGTTGACACCAATTACCATTATCATTGATGAAGGGTCTGAATCAAGTGGCCCCAAGGCACTAGCAGAGTAGGTGGGGCTTGGCTGTGCTTGCTCCACCAATGGCCCTCTAGGGCTGTGGCCCAGCAGAAAATCCCCCTGTTAAGTTAAATGGCCAGCTGACCCCTAGCGGTGTACTGGTTATATGAGTGTACAGAATAGATCTCCTGCTCTGTGATTAAGTGAAATGTCTGACCTCGGGCCAATCACATCCGCTCTCATTCCTAACCTACCTCACAGGGTAGTTGCATGGATAAAGATGGAGGAGGGTAGAGGGAGGGCCACATAAAGCACGGTGAAGTTATAAAATAGATGTGCCAATGAATTTGCTTTGATGGTAAATAATAAAAGATCAGCATTAGACATGTGCAAGAGTGAAAACATGCAGCCAGTTTCCATACCTGTAGTTTTACTGGCTGGTAACTTGAAATCTCTCTGAAAGATCCATCTTCCATTTGACAGTAGTCAATCATCCATGCCAGAGAACTGCACACAGAAGCCTGCTCCACAGAAGTGTACGAGCTAACTTGTCCCAAAATCCTTAAAGCAAAAGCTGTCATCCTGCCATGGCAATCAAGTAAGATAAGGATACTTCCTCAGTAAACCTTTTAAAAACTAGTTCTGAAGTTATTTTTTGGTCAGCTTTTGGGATTCTGACAGAACCAGGAAAACACTCAAGGACAGGCATAATCAGTTGTCAAAGCCCCCCCCACTCTTCCCAATCAATATTTCAGTTTTGATAGAAAACCACTCATCATATAACACAGATCTGGTAGGAAAGTCCCTAATTGATTGCCTTTATTCTCCAACTAGGAAAAAGGCACGTTGTGGAAATAAATACAACGAGCTCTAGAAAGAGGCTCTGGGCGGGTGCCCTGGCCTTGGACACTCAGTGTCAATTTGCTGTGGCGACCTCAGCAGGGTATAATGACACTGAGTCCACTATTTTCTCCAGAGGAACTGATCTCTGCTACCTAAAGAACAGTTGTAATTTTGAGTGATCTCCAGCCCTCACCTGGAGATTGGCAACAATGGTTCCCCATAAGGGAATAGTTGTTTTGGAGGGTGGAGTCTATGGCTTTGTACCTGTACAAGGTCCCACGCCTCCTGAAACCTCACCCTCTCCAGGCTCCATCCCTCACATATCCAGGAATCTCCCACCTGGAGCTGGCAACCCTATCTCCTTCCCAGCCAATCATCAACCTACCTTTATTTCCCTCTCACTCTTCAGCTTTCCACCCCCCACACACCTGCAAGCCTCTCCTGTGCTCTGAAGCCCTAACTGCTACGTTACATCTGCTGTCATATGGGGGCCACCTCAGCAGCATATAAGGATACAGAGTCCACCATTTTCTCCAGGGGAACTGATCTCTGCCATCTGGAAAGCAGTTGTAATTCTGAGTGATCTCCAGCCCTCACCTGGAGATTGGACACATTTTACCTCAGAACAGCAAAACTGGTTAGAATGTTAGAGGCAAAAGCCAATCAAGTCGCATATGCAAAAGACCTCTGTGTTCCGTGGCAGAGGCCAATGAGGCTGCATATGCAAATAACCTCTGTGTTCTGACTGGCTATGGGGGGGGAGAGGAACTGCAAAATGTTTAGAATGTTGAAGGCAGGACTCAGGCAAAGCAGCCAGTGGATAGGGAGACCCTATGAATGACAGATCAGAGAGCGAACTGATTTTGGAGCCTGTGGAATGTTCTAGAGAAGTGCCACCACCATTCGGCTTTTATTTATAAGGGAGATGAAAGCAGAAAAGTTTTCTCTCCTCCTTCATGTTATCCTCAAATCAACTCTGTGAGGAGGAGGAAGAGGAGATTGGATTTGTACTTGGAGTCTCAGAGTAGTTTACAATATGTGCCATCCAAGGGGTCCCTGTAAGGATTCGTTTGGACACATTTGGGATCAGTTAGAGCTTCTGGGCCAGGTTGAAGGGTGGGTAGAAGAGAGCCCATCCGTCCACTGCCCACCCTGATCTCCTCCTGGCCCAGGAAAACCCCTGGAGAGAGAAATCTCATCCAAAGAGGGCCCTGGAAAGCAGTAGTTGCAGGCAAACATAAACCAAAACCATTTCTTTTAGTTCCCTGACAGTCAAATGCCATTAACTCACCAAACACTGGACTGACCATCCTTCCACATTGTGTAAGAAAAATCTTTTTTCTGGAATGATAGGATTCTTATGATTCCTAGGAAATACATAAAGCAGAGCTTCCAAAGTCTGTTTCCCCAGAGTTCAAATGTTACAGAAGCATATACTTTATATTTCTGTCTCAGAACAAAGTAATGTGAAAAACAGGCAGCCCAATGTTCCATCTAAGCTCCACAGTGTTATAAGCAAAAATTCTACCTCATGAGTGAAAAAACCTAGTAGCATTTATATCCCACTTCTCCCTGTGACTCAAGGCATCTTACAAATCATACTGAAAAGCATAATACGGGTGTGCAAAAAAGTATTTTCCCCCCAAGCTCCATTATAGCCTATGGGGACCATAATAGTTAATGGGCCCCATAGGTTATAACGGAGAATAAATCCAGGGTTATCTGGGACTGTGGGAGGCCTGTTTTTTGAGGTAGAGACACCAAATCTGCAGCATGGCTGCAGGTGCCTCTCCTCAAACCCCCCCCCCAAGTTTCAAAAAGATTGGACTAGGGGGTCCAATTCTATGGGCCCCACGAGGAGGTGCTCCCATCCTCCATTATTTCCAATGGAGGGGGGAAATGCCTTCTAAGGTCCCATTCACACGAGGGGATTTGGGCCGGGAGCGGGACGGTCCGGGGGCGGAGCAAATGGCCGCGATCACACCACAACATCTGGGAAGCGTAGTGCTTCCGTCCCCGAACTGGCCCATCCACGCGATAATCCGCATCAAGTTGGAACCACCTACCGAGGTGGTTCATCTCAATGGTGCACCGCAAACCGGGAGTCTGATCGCCGGCGCATCCTTGCGCCGGTGCGTCCCCGGCTCCTAGCCGAACTGCACATGCTCCGACATGCGCATTTCGGCTGGCTTGCCGTCAGATCTGTGTTTTCTCCCCGGCGTCTGATCGTGCCGGGGAGAAAAGGCAGCGCGGCCAGGGGATCCGTGGGATCCCACCGCGCCGTTTCAACTTTGGCGCGGCTTTTAAAAGCCACGCTTTTTGGCGGCTTTTCCCCTGCCGTGTGGCAGGGGCCTAAGTTTATTTGTGAGCTGAAGCTAAAATCCCTGAGCTGCTACCTAGTGCAGCTTAGAAGAAAAGAAGAGATTGGATTTATACCCCGCCCTTCACTACCCAAAGGTGTCTCAGAGCGGCTTACAAATTCCTTTCCCTTCCCCTCCCCACAATAGACACACTGGGAGGTAGGTGGGGCTGAGAGAACTCTTGACAGAAACTGCTCTTTTTCAAGAACAGCTATTATCAGAACTACGGCTTGCCCAAGGTCATCCAGCCAGGTGCAAGTGGAGTAGTGGAGAATCAAACCCGGTTCTCCCAGATTAGAGTCCGCGCACTTAACCACTACACCAAACTGGCTCTGGGTCGAGAAGAAACTCTGTTCACAGCCACTACAATTTGCACAACTGCAGGAGTTCAACAAGGTGGCACCACAATCTTCACCCATGGCAGCAGCCTGACAGTCACTTTAGACCACTTGCCAGTGTCAGCAAGCTGCCATTGTGTTCTGTATTACCTGCCTGTTTGTACAGTCCCTTCCCCCCCCCCCCCCCTCCCGGC